TATGTGTATCCTTAGTTCCTATATCCCCGTGTCCAGTCAGTGTTTGTGTCTGCCCTGGTCCCACGTCTCTGTTCCCTTTGTAGTGCCTGCATGTGAGTCTGCGTCTTTGTTCAGTCTGTGTTATGTGCTTCCTGTTTTACTTTGAAGGTCTCTGTCTTATCTCAGTGTGTTCAGGTTACGCTTCTTTGGTCTCGTCAGTTCTAATTTGTCCCAGCTGTGTTTCCCTCCTGTTACTCATTCCCTGATTGCTCCCTCTGTGTATTTAAGCCCTGTGTTTCTTAGTGTCTGTGTCGCGATCTACCGTTTTCTTAGCTGTGTGTTCTGTCATTTCTCTAGTTTAAGTTTGTTTTGAGTTTTTTTTAGTTTTGTTATATTTTGAGTATTAAATTAAAGCCTTTTTTGAGTTCACGTCTGTCTCCGGAGTCTGCACCTTGGGTCCTATTCTTGCCTGCACACAGCCACACCTAACACAAACTTTCCTTTTTGCTAAAGCATATAGTTAGGGCTGGACCAGGTGACCCTGAATCCTCCCTTAGTTATGCTGCAATAGATGTAGGCTGCCGGGGGATTCCCATGATGCATTGAGTTTTTCCTTTCCAGTCACCTTTCTCACTCACTATGTATTAACAGACCTCTCTGCATTGAATCATATCTGTTATTAACCTCTGTCTCTCTTCCACAGCATGTCTTTTATCCTGTCTTCCTTCTCTCACCCCAACCGGTCGCAGCAGATGGCCCCGCCCCTCCCTGAGCCTGGTTCTGCCGGAGGTTTCTTCCTGTTAAAAGGGAGTTTTCCCTTCCCACTGTCGCCAAAGTGCTTGCTCATAGGGGGTCATATGATTGTTGGGTTTTTTTCTCTGTATCTATGAAGCGCCTTGAGGCGATTTATGTTGTGATTTGGCGCTATATAAATAAAATTGAATTGAATTGAATTGTTATGACAGCAACATGTTGACATGAAGATGAGATTTTATTACCTTCATCAGCAAACTGCTCCTGCGACTCATCAGCTGGGGTCAAAATTTCTAGGTAGTGCACAGCTTTTTCTGCGAGCAACCAAAAAGAGTGAGACATTTTTAATCCTCTAATAGGACATTTGGTATGCTATAATATGGGTATTGTTTTGAAAAATCAGGAAAACCTGTGACATACATACAAATCTTTAGCTCTGGCTCATTATTAAACATGTTAAATCAACACGCCATTACAATTTCACTTATAAAGTCAAGTTTATGTTGGTGTCGCAATGTGTTGTGTTGGTATCCAGAACTAAACACCAAAGAATGCAGTTCACCTAGAAGTAGAAGTTCCCTCGAACCTGACGTACTGTACACCTTATTATTGTATGCCCAGGTACAAATACAGGTGTAGAGGCCCTCGTGGTCTTTGGTAGATTATGCACTCTCAATTCGACTTCATGCTGATCTTCAATAAGAGTATAGTCCTGCACCAAGAAGGGCAACAATAGGGAAAGCAACACATTTTACTTCAATGAACATGGTCTGTTTTGTAAATCATCACATGGCCTGTCAATTAATCATGTGGCTTAGTTTGTAATTGTTGTATTGTAAAAGTTTAGAAGTTTTTAAAGTAGCTCCCTTTTTATTAACTTGCAATCAGGTTCTTGCTATAGCAATGAAACCACTTTATCTTACATAAAATTACACTGGTATTAACATGGACAATGTTTAAAAAGTAAATAAATTCCTTTGTTCAGAAGTCAAGCAACATTTTAATGTCATCAACTTCCAGGGCCAGTGGAATCATCTTTTGCCCCACTGGTTTCACTGGTAGTACTGGTATTATTACCATCAGCAGTCAGTTCTGGACCTCTCAGCTTTGCAGCTTGATGCTGGTTGGCAACTAGCTCTTGCACCTTTTTAGCAAAGTATCCAGAGTCATAAACCAGGCAGGGTCATACCATCAATTAATCCAATGGCCTGATCCAAAAACGATTACCGAAAAGTCAGAAAAATCCCACCCAAAAACGTGTATTCAAAATGGCAAGCACCAAATCATTCAGCGTAACAAACAACTGGCAAACACACACCTTTATAGGGAGTTTGTACGTGTTTTGGAGTTTGCAAGTGTTTTGGAGTTTGCAAGTGTTTTGGAGTTTGTAACGTGCTTTGTCTCTAGGGGCCACCGTAAGCCCCCTCCCCCTAAACAAGCTCCGAGTGACAACGACTAATGGGAAATTCACAGAGAAAACTTGCGGATTCTTCAACTGACCGCTGCGGCACTCCTGCTATACAGGTGAAAATAGAGGCAACAGGACCGCTAGTCTTTGATTTTATTTATTTCTGCTGTGTTTTACTTGCATCTATTTGAAAGACTGAGTGTAAAAACAAAAATATTTTATGTGCTGGAATGTGCAGAATATAGGTTTAAATGTTAAACTAATTTCTTCAAGTCAGGAATGGTGCATATAATTTAATTTTGCTTGATGCATAAAGTTAAAAGCTTAAAACTAATAAAACAAGTTTTAAAAAGAGACTTTTCCATTTGATTACATTTTGTATGATGGATTATGTAGAAAAAGTAGAATTGGGCTGAAGATCTATCGCTTTATCACTATTCAGGTTGTAAATCGTGTTTTTTAAAAAGTAACTAAGTAACTAAGTAATTAATTACTTTTGAAAATAAGTAATCAGTAAAGTAACGGGATTACTTTTTTGGGGAAGTAATCAGTAATTAGTTACTGATTACTTTTTTCAAGTAACTTGACCAACACTGGTTCAAGTGCAGTTATTTTCCTCTGAGTTTTGATTCTGTCCCTAGTTAGCTAACATAAACTAAAGTATCAACTTCTATACTGACATAAGATGACATGAATCATCACACTGAACATGATTTTTAAAACTGTATTTCTTAAATCCAGCTTCACAGCCACACATCTATGTCCGTTTTTGAAAGCAGGGCTCCATGATGTCACTTAGCCTTTGTGTAGTGGCAGAGGTGGATGACCTGTAGACTTTCCTGGATGCATTTAAGGCAATGGTGCAGGTTTGCAAGTTTGCCAAACAAACAGGAAGCTGACCTGGGCTTTTTGGCCTACCTTGTACCAGGTGATGTTTCCTTTGAATGCACTACATGTGCTTTTGACTCGTTCTGGACATGGGACTTTTTGCTCTGGTCAGAGTTTTTGATTTCTCCGTAGTTTAACATCTTGCTTCCTCTGTAACTTGCATTGAACACTTCAATTTTCACAGGGTGGTTAAACATTGTCCTGAAGACTTGATTTCCCTAAAAGTGAATCAATGAGTGGGAAGCACATTAACAAAAAAGAGACAAAAAAGAAGAAAATTGTTTTAGAGTTCAAGAAAACCCAGACCATCACTAATGTTAGATGCTAGATAGAAATTTTGTAACATATTTCATAGAGATGATTCTTACCAAGCAGCGTAATCTCCAGAATCAGAAATGTTGAGGTTTAAGAGAAACAGTGCTTCGCCTTGGTAATGCACCCTGGCTTTCTTATCAGAGGAAATATTCTGAATTTGGGTGCTATATTTGTACCATGTAAAATTTTTATTGTTGAAGTTTGGTTCTAAAATAAAAGGTACATAAAAAGAGACTCCCCTTCAAGCACTGTAATGCTCTCCTCATTCATGATCTCACATTGTGATTTGCCAGAATCTGAAACTGAGGGAGAAGCAGATAGAGGTGATGATAAGTGCAAATGCAAATGTGAAAGGTGTGTTGCAGATGCTACAATGCTGTACGATGAAATGAAAATGTTTATGAAATGTTCCTTTTCTTTTTTGCCTTAATGTTTTTCAATGATTTTTATGGCCTTTCTGTCTTGCCATACATTTTTACCTTCTACATTTTGGCTTTGATGTTTTGCTGACCCATCAATGATAACCTTTGATATAACTTTTTCTACAACTTGCTCAAAATTGTCATGATATGCATTTCACATCAGCGGCCTTTTGAGCCTGATTAATACTGGGTGTGCTGCTTCACCAGGTTTCATTGTAAGGTGTAAGATGTGCGGTTTAGCACATGCAGATGAATCGTGTACTGTATACACCACCTGATTTCCATTCTGATATGGATGTCACCACTGCAACAAGAAAGAGAAGCTGGAAAGCATCCATTAGCTGAGAGAGAGAGAGAGAGAGAGAGAGAGAGAGAGACATAGGACATTCAAAGCCAAACCACACTGTTCTGAATCATGTGATATATTTCATATTTAATTACACTAACTTGACTTGCTTTACTCATACACTGTCAGTCCTGCACATAAGCTTTTACCATGGCCTCAACAGCTTAAAGTGCTTCTCCCTGTCTGTTCCACAAATAATGTGACAGTTCAGTGATTCTTGAGATAAGGGACAAAACATGTCCGGCAGATAAAACCCAATTTTGTTGTTAAAAATATGCATACAAGTGTTAACCCAACTGCCTAAAAGACAACAGCCACTATGGTGTGGTGTCCCTTTAAGACACCCAAGTCGAGGGTTGATGGTGTCATCGGTTTGTGCCACTGCTCTGCTCTCTCTCTCTGTGATGGTGTGGACATGTGCTTGCACGCTAGTAGATGAGGAGGGACGGATTTTATGTTTTACCTCTCCAGACACCTTTGTTTGCAACGTTATGGGTTGTACGAACACTGTGCGCTATGTTTGTTAAGCTGCAGCCGTTCAACCGGGCTTATATGGTTGATGAAGAGAAGGTATACTAAAGAACACACTGTGGAATCCCCAACGCCAGTGTGAGTGTGTATTCTTTTGGCTACCCTGCTAAGTGTTTTGCCGCCTCCTCTCAACCACTAAACGCAACCCGACGTTACAAACTGTAACAGGGCGGCCCTTAGCGGCTGGAAACTAGTGATGTGACGTTCTGTATCGAGTAATGGAGGGGGCGTTTCCGCGATGCGCGTATCGAGGCTTGCTTCATTTATGGGAGGAGCTGAAAATGATGACGCCGAAGCCTCACTGCCCGGCTGTACCACGTGACTGGTTCATGAAGTGGTTCGAACTTGCCGCGAGATATGACAGCGATATAAACCCCTCAGACTTCATTCAAAAATGTGGGTGTTTGATGGAGAGTTGCGGTTAGAGAGAGTTTGGAGACCGTTTGGAGGTTTATGAGAGTGAGGAGAGAAAGTCAGGAGAGAATGGAGCCAGCTAAGAAGAGGAGGATGTCCTCCCCTGTGTGGGAACATTTTGATCTTATTCCTCCCAACAAGGTATGTAAATTTCTACAGAAGATGTATTTTCATAATACTGATGGTGCAATACAATTTATGTTAAGCGGCTTTACTTTTGTACAAGGTAAAGTGTTTGCTATGTGCCAGGCAGCTGGGATATAACAACAACACCTCATCCATGCTTAGGCACTACAGAGCTTTGCATGAGAATAAGGGGAACACCGATTGTGGAGCAAGACCAGGTGAGCCATCAAATGCCATGATAATACAGCATGCAGTAATGTTACTACATGATATAACAATATTATACAGCTGTAATAAGTTACGTGTGTGATATTTATATCTGTGCTTTGTCTTTATTGTCTTTCCTCAGGAGAACAATCTCAAATAGATGAAGACCTGGTTACCATGGTGATTGAGGACTCCCAGCCAGTTAGCATTGTGGAGGACAAAGGATTCAAAAGATTTGTTAAACCATTAAATCCTAGCTATGTTCTCCCCACTAAAAAGGTCATAAAAGCAGTGAAAATTTAGTTTTTACAGAATAAAATGTGAATAGGCAGGACTGAGGCTCAAAGCCTCAGTGTGTAGCTGTCCATACCTCAACGTTACAAAAGCACAACTACTGTCCACACCCCAACCACACCTCACCTCACAGTAAATGATAATTTCCATTTTAAGCATTTCCAAATAATCATTTTCCATACTGCCAGTATAAATATACACAGTATACTGCCATCACTACAATATACATGTTTTACACACTCCTTTTGTTGTTGACATTTACAGGCTGTGTGCAAAAGGCCACATTTCAAATTCTTGCCAACTAATATTTTTACGTCCAGTAGATGTCCTACTAGAGCAAATGAAGCTTCAAGAAGCTTTGCGCTGGGGTGAACCAATTGGATGAAAAGCTTCAGTGCTTCATGAAGTTTCATCTGCCCATCACTATCCCCGGGGGTCCAGACACCATTTAAAGGTTCCAGGAGAGACCATTGGTAAAGAGAGTGTGGTGAATCTTTTTGTGCTTGGGTTTCTGGGTTTTTATAATATTGGGTTTGGTGTAACATTAAAGTGTGAAATATTTATTAATATGTAAATGTGAAAATGTATTTATTTATTCTTATATTTATCTACCACATTCCTTGATGATGAGCAGCTGTGCAGGATCTGAAATAAGGCTACCAACTGATTTTAAAATTCCCAATAAATAGTCAATAAATATTTAAACTTCTTTTGTGCAAATCCATGCTTAAAGTGCAATGCTAAATAAAGTGCTTGATAAGGTGCTTTTAATAAAGTGAAAGGTGTGCTCTAAAGTGCTATACAGATAATATAATATAAATAAATGCAGTAAGGGAGTCCTCTTCCTTACACAAACCAAGGCAATTTTTATATGATTTTGCATTTTTTATACATATTTATTTATTTTAAATGGTACAATACATTACCAGTACCTTAAAAATCCATTGTCCAGAAGCAGGTGTGATAATATTAAAATACAGAAAAAAAAATTAAAAGTAATGTAAAATTAAACATCATGGCTCTCGTCACTAAGTATTTAATTCAATACCTAATATCAAAATATGCAATTGAAAATTTATTTTTACATATTTTTTAAGTGATTAAAATCATGTCCAGAGTTTTTGTCAACACCATCAGATTTTTTTAAAAGTACATCAAAAATCAGGAATTATTGTGGGTAGCTTACACTCTGAGGACCCCTTTATCACTTCCTGTTTGATACACATGCCATGAGGTCACTGCTGTGATAATTTTTTTTAAATTTTAATGTCATTTATTGCATACCTTTCTGATAAAACTCTTTGTCACAACCATAGTGTGTCACCACCAAAGTCGATGTAATGCAAGATTTAATTATTTTTTTTGTAAAAAGAGCTTAATTTAGGTAGATTGTAAAAGCCATAAGCAACTGATGAAAAACAAGATGGCTTCTGTCAGATAAACATGTGTTATGAGACAAAGTCGGGTATTTTGTCAACACCATCAGGATTTTGTCTGACGGTGTTGACCCTTTTCCTAATGGTGTTGACAAATGCCACAAACGTGTGCTATTCACCATTTATATTAAGTTATTTTTTTACTAATATTTCAGATATATTACGTCCTGTGTATTTTACTGATATTTCTGCTTCACAGATGTGTCAAATATTATCAAATTTGTCTTATCTTGAATCTCATTGTTTATGTTTATATTATTAATCCTGTAGGAAAATGCTTAGTCCTCTGCATTTAACCCATTCACTCAGTGATGCAGTGGGCAGCTACAAATCATGTGGCGTCTACTGAGCTAGCTGTGCCTCGAGAGTTGGTCTTTAAGTGATGATGTATGAATCCTGCTTCCGGGCCCAAACTACTCTGTGTTTATTAAGCCTGTTGTGCTGTTAAAATGTTTTAATGCTTTTTATCTTGTTCTATTACATCAGAACAAGCCCCTAAAAGAGCCCGTTCTCACTCCCGAGGCGTAATATGCTGACGATTTGTCACCTAGCGTAAAATGTTACGCTTTGGGAGTGAGAACGTGTTGCCTAAAAACAGTCAGTGATCACGTCAGCCTAACCATCGGGAACCCTCACGTTAACTTTTATCAAGTGGTAAAAGTTAGCATTCATCCTCCAGCTTCACTGTATTTATATTATGCTAACATAGCTGTGTCACTAGCGATCATGTAGCACATCACTATATACCAGCTAGCCCAACTTCAGTAACCTGACAATAGTCACTGCTGTTCAATTTTCTGTCTCTATTTATGTTGGAAGTGGTAGCAGAGCTGGTTTATCATGTTCAGGTGGAAACAAGCAATCTAACTTTAACTCTGTTAAATTTCATATATTCTGTTTTCATGGATGCCTGGATGTTACACCTGGTAGAGCAGCTACACTGATCATTTTATTAAAGATGAAAGAATTTAGACAGATTGTAACTCTCAGTGATGCCGCAGAGTTCCTTTGACTTTGGGATCTGCAGCGGAGTTTGGACCTGGAAACGGCTAATGACATCAGACTTAAAGACCGGATAGCATCTCTATTGCTTAATGCATAATTGTGTTGTGAATATTCATCCTTAATCTGTAAAAAAGCATAAGGTTCAGAAAAATTATAGTAATTACAAAATGGTACATTTCAGGCTACAATAGCACAGGGGAAGCTGTCAGTAGAGGAATGAAAGAGAAGGAACAGGGATGATAAAAAAAAAAGGAGAGAAAAAGTTAACAGCCAGCCTGAGTTGAAGAAAGAGTTTCTCATAAAGGAAAGGGAAAGATGGAGAAATAGAGTGAAAAAGAGAAAAATAAAGAACATCAGTGATCTGAAAGAAAGAGAAAAAAGTCAGAAGAGAAGGTTTTGGAAACAAGCACAGAGACAAAAGGAGAGAAAGTCCAGCAGGGTCTAAACACACAACCACAGAACTTTAGGAATCAAGGAGTAGTAGGCAGCTACTTGCTGGTGAACTATTAAGATGTAGAACTTGACATGTGCAAAAACAGAATTGTTATGATGTGTCTTGTGATATTACAAAGGTTGCTAAGGTTTAATGGTCATTTTGAAAGAAATATATTGTTTTCTACTAGTGTGTCAACACCGTCAGATTTGTGTCACCACCGTCAGCACCTTGTCAACTCCATAATATGGAGTTTTTGTTTATTTTTCTCTTTTGGAAAACCATATATTTTCCTCCCTCATGATCTTCCTATAAAAATACGTAATTTTCTCAATGTGTAATTTGCATTCTGCTTAATATGATTGTTTCTTATAGAGATTAAATACAAGCTTCTGAAAATATGTATGACTGTAACTCTAATAATAAAAAGCCAAAACAATCTTACTTTTAAACCTGGTATAATTACTTTGAAAACATATGTGCATAAACAATAGAATAGAGAATCTGCTAATAGTCAAAGTAGCTGAAACAACTTAATTTAAAATATATATTTTTGCATTTCTTTGTGTCTGACGGTGTTGACAAAAACCTTGCACTTCTCCAGCAAAAACATAAATTATTAAAAAATGTTACACCTGGGAGATTGTACCAAAACATGGTGAGACAGCCAAAACCTTGTGTAACAATTATATGTAAATATGTTTTTAAAAAATCAAAAAATATATTTTAGAAAATTAAAACCTGTTTTGTCCCTAATCTCAGGAATCACTGAGTTATGAAATCAGTTAAAATGCTGCTCTCTCATCACTGGTTGTTCAAAAGAACAGAATGCTGTGCGTTTTGTTTTTCTCAGGCTTGCATGTTTCCTTTGGTTTTGAGCCAGCTGGTTGCTGGAGAAAGCTATCAACTTAGAAGCCTTTCAGTGGACCGATAACACAGGAACTTGTCAGAAGAAGTTTCAGATGAAATTGAATATGACACTGATTACCTGTGAAGATTGTTATCAAATAATTCCTGGTTATCAAACTTAATCATCTTGTCATTTAAGGACTTTTTGCACAGTGCAACACTTCTCACAATGTCCTTGACAGACTCAGTGGCTGAATAAGAAATAACAGCTAAAAAAACAGCAAAAGGACAAAGTGAACACAAGTCACATGGTGTTACAGTGCCAACAGTATAACAATCTGTCTGTCAAGAGTATAGTTGTAGCATCTCTGACATGTTTTTAAACATGTCTGAGAGCAACAGAGACACACCACATTCATCTTCAGTAGAGAGCCTGTTCACATAGAATTGCTACAAATGTTCACCAATATTTGTAACTGCTCAGTCGAGTTTCACTTTGAATCATATCTTCTAAACAGGAAGTTTATAATTTTGCAGCTTGAGCTCATATCAAATCAAAGTGTTAAAATCCTGAATAAGTCTTATAATAATTCTTGAATAATTCAAATTGAATACTGATTCGATCCACTATGAGTTTAAAGAATTGCTAGCTTTAACTGTTCTGTTTTCCAGATGCTGTGGAAATAACTATGGAAGAGATCTGAGAAGATCTGTAAACAGATCTGTAAAGCCTTTATAAAGTTTATAAGTTATCTTCTCACCCTAGTTCTTCTTTCTGTCACTTAACTTGGAGTATACCTATTTAGAACCTTAGCATATCCTAAAGCAAGGAAGTTAAAATTGTTAGTAGTAATGAAAGTGTTTGCTTACCTCACAAAAGTGTGTGTGCTGGCCGTTGGAGTGTAATCAGCTCGAAGCTGCCGGTATGGTTGTTTCTCTCTCTCTCACTCTCTCTCTCTCTCTCATGCACACATGCTTCGTCACCAGCCTGTTTCCCGTCTCTCATGTTGGACCCGCCCGGGGTCCATGCTTACATAACAGTCACAACAACAGCAGTGCGACTGTTACTTCAACAGGCAGACTTGAAAAGCTACACATTCACCTGAACAAAACAACCACATGTTAATGCTGACGGGGTGTAGATGTAACATAGAAATCTATATCACTAAAAGCCACTCGGTAGATCAAAATTAGAAATGAACACCCATGTTTAGGCACATTTTCTTGTTTATGTTATTTAAATGTGTTTCAGCCATAAGAAAATTTGCTACAAATCTTTAAGCTAAAGATAAGCAGAAGAGAATGGATGGATGACAGATGTTCATATCATTTATGTACATTTTCAGCAGTGTACCTGTGTAATATATCTGTATTGTGAGAGCTTGTTTATACAGATCTGAACAGACGTGCCTGATGATCCTCCTTATGACTTTATAATTAAGGTAATCTGAGCCTGTGACATTTCATATTAAAACGGGCAAGATCGGTAAGTTCGATTCTGACTTAGTAATGTTAGGGTCACATGCTTGAGCCCCCATTTGGTGGATTGTCTTGTAATGCCTGCTTGCAATAGTTTTATTATTAGTTCAGGTATAGCAGATAAAGTGGCACTGAAATGTGAGCTTGGTGTTCTCTAATATACAGGTTCTACTATTTCTTGTAGGTGAAAAATTACATGTGAAGTTCATTATCACATCAGAGACACTTTTTACACTGTGATCCAGCATGACAGAATTAATTTTACAACAGGATCACAAGCCCATACACGCACCTTAAAGTGAGACCCGCTCAAACACCAAGGAATGCTCGGCTTATCCCACTCTGGGAATTATAATCACATTTTCCATGACTGGAAACTACGCGGAATGGGCAAATATGCCCTTTCAAGTAAGCACTGCATGTGGGTGTTTCCAGTTAGGGGATTCCCTGAACAGATGTGACTTTCACCACTTCCAGTCAATAAACCCTCCCCACTGATCAAAGTTCTGGCCTGGAGTACACTGAAAAAAAGGGACTGGCCATCTCTTGGATTTATGTAAGCATCTTGCATGTATTTAACACAATTGCCTCATGTTTTAAAGTTAAATGTAACTATATAGTGTAAAAACTACATGATATGCAGAAAGGGTGTATTAAATTGTTCATATCATGTTCAGGTGAAGTAAGTCAATACGATAGCAACGTTAAATCTCGTGAAACCACGCGTGATTTCATCTCGCGGGCTTTGGATCGTGGTTTAAAAAAGGCATCCATCTCAGTCAAGTCCAGCAGCCAACTCTATGTTTTTTGGTATGTCTTGATTTTTTGAATTAATATTTATTTAAATGTAGTTAAACATCTAGAGTGTCATCATGTAATATGCTAAAAAAGAGCCGCTAACTTATTTGCTGTTTTATCTGTTGTCAAAGAATTGGCGCTTTTTCATCTGAATTTGTCTTTGGCACAAGAGCCGTAATATCACATTAAACCTAATTACGAGGCACTCATAACATAATCTGGTTTTCTGTGTGAATAGATTTGACAACTGACTCTTCAGTTACATTGTGTATTTACTGCACCGTGGTGTTAGTGAGATTTTGGACATTGAACAGCTTTAGCTAATATCATCAGCGGCATTATGCTAGCTTACATCCCTACACCTCCTGCCCTCACCTGCTGTCCTTTTGTTTTTGTTTGTTTGTTTTTTTGCTGCACATTGAGAGATGACCTCTATTCTGCATTTCACCAGGAGTCAGCTGATGGATTGTGGGTTCAAGGTGTTATGGTGAGAAAGTATATTCTATTTTCGCTTAAGGTTTCTGTAACTTAATTATAATAGGGTTTTTATAGTTATTAGGTGTATGCATACTCAAATAGACCACCCTATTAATACAACTGAGAAATCCAAAATCTGCCATATAGGTTTAACTTATACCTGTATGTATTGTCAGAAAGGTGATTACTGGACTCACACTTGAACTAAAATGAGGTTTTAACTTGTGGGTTGTTGGGTTGCAAATCAGAAACAAACATCTTTGGATTTTTTTTAATCCCATAAGATCTGGAAACAGTTTTTATTCAACAAAACATTACTGATTAACCAAGCACAGTGCCTGCTGTTATTTCAAAATTATTTTATGTCATTTCAGATAAAATGAAGCATTCCAGTGCATCCCAACCATGCCTTTACAGTCAAGGTTTCTAACGGAGCTGAGTTTCTCTCTGACAGTCTGCTGAAAGTGTTTGCAAAGTGATCGGGGGAACAGGGCACAAAGCTAAAGGATGTAGCTGCCATGATGACAGTAAGAACTTTAAAATTCTTTAACTACAAAGTGTATATGTATTGCATTAGGTCAGTAAAAGATTTTTATGCTGCATCCATTGGTATGGGTTGGCTGGGTTGTTATCAGGAAAATGATATTTGCGGATTAATTTACAGTGAATTAAAAATGAATTGTTGGTCAGAAAAACTAAATCTGAAAATAATAACATTTGCAGCCTCAAAAGCACAGAAATCATAAAAAACCTTTTTTGATTTTAATTCTTACATAGCATTATTTATCAAGAACAGCTACAGATAGAACATTACTCCAGATGTTCTATCAGCTCCAGATATTCTTATCAGTCAGTCAGTAGTCATATATTTTAATTCTCATATAATATTGCAGATGAGCTATATCAGACATAGCAATTTCCCTTTGGGATCAATAAAGTCATTCTTCTTATAGCACAACTTAGTATGTATTAGTGGCAACCCATGTATCTGGGACCTGCATTCTGCCATAATCAGTGTTGGGGAGTAACGGAATACATGTACCGCCGTTATGTATTTAAAATACAAGATATGAGTAACTGTATTCCGTTACTCACTACGGCAGCCGTAATGCTCTGACAATCCATCAAGCAGTGCGGCTTACCAAAGTTGTACTAAAACATCTTTTAACAGATTTCTGCACGCCAAAATCGGTTCGAGGTCAGTAAGCACAACCAGAATTCATACATAAGGCACAATCTCGATTTTTGAGAAAATTAAAGGATTTTAAGTGTGCCTTATAGTGTGGGAAATACCTTATACAGAAGAAAAGAATATATCGTGATATATATTGTTACCGCACATGCTTCAAATTATATCGCGATATGAATTTTAGGCCATATCGCCCAGCCCTAGTGGCATCATCTTCCATTTGAGTTATTGCATGCTTTGGTGTTTTTGTGTTTTGTCTTTGTGTTCTGCAGCTCTTCTCCAGCTGCCAGCTATTTAGAGTTGAGTACAGAGAGTAGTTGATTGGTAATGATTTGAGCCCTTCTCAATAAAGGGGAGAGAAAACAGGAAGGATGTTCTTTGTTTTTCTGTAGGACACAGTTGGAGAAGGGAAGCCGGCTGAAATTGGAGACTCCAGTGAGATAAGTGAACATTTTAAAGGAAAATAGTTTTAACCTGATCTGGAGGGTTTTGCTCTTAAAATAATCAGTGACATCAGGAAGTTGATTCACTTTAATTAGAATTTATGTGGATTTGTTGTGATAAAGAGACTGGATTGGAAACTGTTGGTGTGCTGGACCTGCGTGTTACGCGAGTTTAACGGGGAAAAAGCTGTAATTAGGAGGCAACCAAAGAGAGGAAATTGTTCAAGACTTGGAGAGGAACAGCTTGACTGTTGAAGTCCCTGATGGGGAATCCCACTCCCTAAGAACACAAAGTTTGTTAATGTGGGTGGAAAGCCTTTCTCAGGAACATGCGAGATTGATGCACTATATTATCTTGGGTTCCAGCAGTACATCCATCTACAGATGAATGAGAGAATCATTTATGAGTAATGCTTGTGCATAACTGACTAATTTCTTTCTCACCAGTCTTTACTCAATATTTAGCACCAAGTTATAATATGTTTGCATATAATTTTAAGTTCAGCCCGCACAGCAGCTCTGAAGCTGAAGCCAGATTTGGATGCTTTGAGCTAAATATCACTATGATAATGATAACATATATACAAGCTCGTAATACGCTGAAGTTAAGCAGATTTACATCGTTCAAGTGTGTTGATATGCTGTTGAGAAACATTTTTCAGATGAGTGACCCGTTAGTGAACTCACTAGGTTTTGCTGTTTTCAGGCAATCAGATTTAAGGCATGGAAATGGGTTCGGTGATAGCCAAAAGTAGAACCCCTCCAATATATAGATCATATATAGACAAGCAGTGGTAACACGATTTGATCTGTCATTTCGTGCCTTTTATAGCTGTCAGTGCTCAGAAAATTCTGAGAAAATCTGTTTCGTCAGGAATAAAGTCTAGGTGACAGCCAACACAAACAGAAAGAGACCGACGACTCCCGCCGCATAAAACCGCAAACACAGGATGCTGGCAGTACACGGAGATCAAATGACCAAGATAAGTAAAAGAGGGGATTTTTTTTATACACTGAAAACAAATTGCACAAAGTGCACAGAAAGTATCAGTTAGGATTAGTCTGAAACTAATCAAAAACTGTTAAATATGCCACTGATTTCTAAGTCATGAAATTTAATTTTATTGTTTGTCTTTAAGTCTTTGACAGTATAGTATAAAATCTTTATAATAGTTTTAGAGATGCTTTTACAGTTCTGAATGTTTAATTTTTCATTTATCTTTTTCTGCATGTATACAGTGAAGGTAACATCTTATGCGTATTGTACTTATTTAAGAGGAGATTGGATCAGTGTCAAACCTGCAAACTTTTACTGTGTTTAAATTGCATATATCTGGATATATTTGTGTTTCGATAAATCTAAATTACAAACCTGGCCCTCTTCACACACAAACTTATTTTTATTAAATTATTATTATTATTATTATTATTATTATTATTATTATTATTATTATTATATGGTTCCCCTAGCATCATCTGGCCTTTGGAAGGGACACAGCACTGTTAACAAGAAAAAGCGCAGCATTATGGTTATTTTGTGTATTTAGATGGTGTCTTTCCGTTAAACGGAGGATCTTGGAAGGTTCCAAAACATCAGCTGGCTAATATTAGCGCACTGTTTTTAGGGGAGTTTTCCATTTAGAGGTTTTTCCACTTCAAGATCATGATATCTTGTGTTTAAGGTGTATTGCCCTTAAAATGACTTGATTCAGTTGTGACTGGTTTCCTGTTCTTCAGCATACAAAGCACTAAATCATAATACAAAACAGCAACACCTTTTTAAAGAGATGTTTCAAATGCTAACAGCCTTCTTACATGGACATGTTTGCGTTTATATTCAAACCTGGCTGAAAATTGTAAATATTTTTACCTGTATAGTTAAATATCTTCTACATTACTGAAATTAATTTACTATTAGGTGACCATGAAGAATGGAGGGATTTTTTAAAACCATTCTTCTAGCAAAAGTGGCAATAAAACACTATAAACAAAGCTGTGGTGAAATGTTCCTCATCTGTGTTGTATAGATTAAAAATACTGCCAAAGTTATTAAGGCTGAACTAATTTTTAAATGTCTGTGAAGGTTCTCAGTCATCCAGGTCATCGTAGTCAAAGGAGCTTGCAAAGAAAACTGAAGAAGCTTCTCGGATGAGAGGTGAAACGTCTTCAAGCAACTTAAAGAAGTCCAGACGCTTTTCTTTGCAAGCTCCTTTGACTAATTTTTAAATGCTTTATACTCACCGTTTAATCATATTTGTAGTGGCTGTCCCTGAACATGAGACTGCACCTCTTCTGTTTAAATAAACTGGATCTTGCGCTCACTCCTTGTTATCAAGCTTTACCTTGCTAATGTGCTAAAGGAGTAATTAACACATTACTCCTTTAGAGTGCTGTATAATTACAGTTACACAGCACTCTAATTCCTCTACATCACACATATTGTCCAAGATGGCCAATAAGAGGAAACTTATCACAGAAGACTCTAGTTGCTAATGCTAGCTGTGTTTCCACACAAAGCAAAGCTGTTACTTGATCTGACAGCAGTGAAGCATCTTGTCTAGTGCACTAATATTCTATCAGTCTCCCATTAAAGACTGGACTTTATACACAATGAACATGCAAAATCAGTCAGAAAAAGCTGCTGGACTCTTGGCTTGACAAGCTCCAGCTATCGTTCATGGGACACAGACATGCCCATAAAACAGAGACACGCTACTGTTTCCATTGAGATCCCAGGCAAGTGCAGCTTTCAACAATTATACCCAGTAGCATCCAGAATATTCTAGTGATGTAGGGATGAATGCAAACAGGCGACGCGCATCATGACAGAGCACTGTTTGACACGAAAGTAGAGATATCGCTTCCTCTTGCTATGTTTTAATTAATGTCTAATTTTGAATTTGACTAGGTGCTTGTCTTGATGGAATGCCATTGCCTCAAACTATTCTACTGAATAAGTTTAAATCTTTTCCTCTGAGTAAACTGATGTGATGAAGAGACACAATCAGTAAGCCATACTTGGAAGGGAAACTTGGAAAAAAAGAATACAAAATATATAATACTTAAACATTTATACTCAGTCACAAATACTTAAATAACAGAATATAAATATGTATCATTCAAAAATCTATCATTCAGTATAAAAATAAGCAATGCTGTCAACATAAAAAATAATTATCCTTTCAAATATGTACACATATGTATGTACACAGCCCTTCTATAAAGGAAAGGTGCAATTTTAAAAGTTGCTAGCATGCCTGATGATATATTATAAGTGCATAAAAAAATACAATTCAAATGTAGAAAAAATGTATTGCTATCACTTATGAAGGAAGTAATAGCAAACATGCACCAATAGAAAAGTCCAGCAGATGCCTCCATCCTTGTTGCACATGTTGTGAAATTCATTGTGCAGAAGAATATATGGGCTTGCTTATTGTAGTCCTAGTGAGTCTTAAAAATACAGGTGACGACAGCTGTAAGCACGTAAAGTTTCCATTTGTCAAGTGTTCCAAGAAACAGGCCTGATGGATGAATCCCATCAATAAAACTTTAAGATATTGTTTAGACAATAGTTTGGAGCCTTCTTGTAGGTACTGGGGGCATGTGGTACCTGAGATTTATCCAAAAGTTTCTCTTTGAGTATAATTCTGTGAATTTGTGTGTCGCAAGAAAATCTTTCTTCCACTTCAGGGCTCCTTGTTTCCTCTTGATATAACGCACAGACTCTGGCAAGTGACTGTAATCCACTGGACCATCTGGCAAAAAAGAAAAACAGTTTAAATATAAATGAAAATAAACACGTTTAATAAGCTGACATTTTAATTTTTATTAAACGAAGTCCTGACCGAGTGCAACAAGTCCAGAGATGAACACACTTTATTCCTTATCAAAATGTACTAAGTTAGCTTAGCATAAAAGCTGGAAGTAAAATCTCTGTTTGTGATGCCTGCAAAGAATTATACATGACCAAATAGGGCATGAATGCTGAGCTATATAACCCGTGACTTAACAGAATTCATGTGGCTAGAGATTTTTGAAAAATGAGGAATCATTTACCAATTTCCACCAGGATAACTCTGGGATCATTCTTCGTCAAAGCATCATGAAGGCCAACTTTCTGCTCATACCACACTTGGCTTTGATTGTCACATATGCAAGTGCTTTCCTCCGTTTTCGCCTCAGGTGATAAGATGATAAGCAGTCTGCGGCACTGGTGCATCGCAGCAGCTGTTGCATCGTGTATTGCTGTAAGGGATTCATGGCCAGACACAAAACTGCAGGTTAGAACTCTTTGTCTGCAAACTGAAGACAGCCCATTTCAACAGCACAAACTATAATTTTGGGCAGAACTGTGGCTTCTTCCAGGCACTCATTTCTTCTTCTTTTTTTAACTTACCAGTTTAGTCTGCATTAATAAAATTAAAGAACCTTGTAAGTGCCTTGAGGCAGCTGTTATTGTGATTTGGCACTATATACATAAAAACTGAATTGAATTGCAATGTATCACCAATACAAACATAAAGGAAATAAACTAGAGCAATAAGAAGAACACAAAAAGAAAAGGGAAAAACAGAAATACAGAGGATAGCTAGACATCAGCTCAAGAAAGTATTAAGTCTGTTTTTAACTGTACTGTACTGTGTTCCAGTAATTTAGTAAACATGGCTTTTATCCAATTTCTCCCATGTATTATACTAGGAGTTTAACCAAGAAGCTCTTATTTTCTTTTCAAACTTCTCTTTCTTTTTTTCTTTTTTTTGCAACTATAAACAGAATTCTTACAGATACAGTTGTGGTCAAAGGTTTAGATACACTCATCATGAGAATGAATGCAATAGCAATGCCGCCACCATGCTACACAGCTGTTACAGTGTTCTTTGGTTCAACAGCCTTTACTTTATCTTCCAGGTCATGGCAGGCTTGAGTCCTGGTGGTTCCGCTGAAGTTTTTCCTAACTAATGTTCTCTGATCTGAGGACAACATTATTTGGTCATCCTCCAGATAGTGGCAAAGCAGTGGCGCATCCAAAAAACTTCTACTTTTTTGTAGTTAGAGTTCTGAACTGAGGGTCTTGGAACCTGCTGTTGTTTAACAATAACTCCAGACTTTCCCTTCCCAATTGTAAATCTACAATAGGGCTGCCACGATTAGTCGACTAGTCACGATTACGTCGACTATTGAAATCGTCGACGACTAATTTAATAGTCGACGCGTCGTTTGAAGCTTTGTAAGATCCCAAAAGACGCAGGAATAAGTAGTAGGATTTAAGAGTGTAATAACGGACTGAAACAGAAGATGGCAGCACTGCATGTACAAGGATGCCAGCTGCCGTTAAACCCCGAAGAAGAAGAAGCTGTGTCCCAGAATTCATAGCGCGGCTCAGCGCAGAAGTCAACAATGGCGGCCGCTAGTTAGTTTTAACTTTACTCTTATTATTCTTTTTGGGTCACAAAATAAACGTTTAACATATTTTCAGGCGAGAATGTAGCTGTGCATACTTCAAATATCTGCTCAGTTTATGAAGACACCACATATTTTCAAAAGTGCTCCGACGTTTTTGGAGACGTCTGTTACCCACTAGCTCGATAGTTAGCCGGGGGCAAGGCTCACTAGAGCTGTGAGAACACCGGACTCCCGGCAAATCGTTTTTAAACCCACCACCGTCTTTCACTACTCAGGTTAAACATGATATATGAGTCACTTAGATAATTTAAAAATGTTATTGTTTGGCTTTTTTCAGTATTTTATTTGTTCCTGAGTAAATCGTTTGGCTGAGATTAAAGTTATAGTTTTTACACAGCTGAGTAAACCTCAAGCAGACAGCTGATTATCAGAAGTGTGAGATGCTCGAGAATATTCTCCGGTGTCCCGTTATATTTTAGATAGCAAGGAGCAGACGGCTGAGTTTATTAAACTTCACTGAAACAACCTGCAGATTTCATTAAAATTTAATAAACTATCATCTTGTCTTTATTTTTAGTTAGCACAGACCTTAAACACTTAAAGCTGTAAGCTAATGATAGTTATATAAGAGCAGATGCATGCTGGTGCAATAAGCTGTACGTTTTACGTCCAATGGATGCATGATCCATTAATCGGTGACTAGTCGACTATCAAAATAATCGTTTGTGGCAGCCCTAATCTACAATTGTCCTTCTTAGATCTTCACTGAGACCTGAGTATTGGTCAATCTAATGAGTGCTGTCAAACAAATCCTTTTCATGCTGGTAAAGAGAAGTATTGACTGACTACAACATCAGTTGTAATCGCTGATGACTTTAGTAGCACAAAGATAATAGGCCTTGGTCTTGTCAAGTTAACAGATAGTGTAGAAGCGGGGGTCTCGAATTCCAGACCTTGAGGGCCGGTGTCCTTCAGGTTTTAGATGTGTCCTTGATCCAACACAGCTGATTTAAATGGGTAAATTACTCCCTCAACATGTCTGAAGTTCTCCAGAGGCCTGGTAACGAACTAGTCATTTGATTCCGGTGTGTTGACCCAGGGTGAGATCTAAAACCTGCAGGACACCGGCCCTCGAGGCCTGGAGTTTGAGACCCCTGTTGTAGAGGCTTCAGCACCACTTATTAGAGGTTTAAGTGAGTGTATGTATATATTTGACTCTTTGAGTCTGTGTGCATTAGAGAAAATCAAAATGAAAATCAAGCAACCAGTTCTTGTTTTATAAAGTCATTAAAAACGTTAATTTAACCACATTTAAAATGCAACTAGTTCTACTTGTCTTTTACCTGAAAGCATCATAGCAACTGATTTAGATTCGTTGGTTATGTATTTGATGTCTTAATTTAATAAAAACTGTGAACAGCAGTTTGTGACAATAAACAGCTCAAAGCCTTTGTATGTTTTCCCGTCTTTTGGGGGTTGGAGAATGACCTTAACAACCTCAAGAATTACACTACATCTAGAAAGACAAGTCTTTCTACCTCTGTTTACATATTATGGATAGCTGCTTCTTACCTTCACCAGGACAGTCATCCCGTCCTCTGATAAACAGAGAGTAGCCATATTGTTCCTCCAGTTTCTCAGGCAGGATCTGCATGGCAAACCTCGCGCCCTCATCTGAACTCATGGCATTGGAATGGATGAAACTCACGTAGGCATCATAGAGCTTCCCATCTGGAACTGACAGAATCTAAATGATTGTTTATGTTCATTTTATAACGTTTGATCCTTTTAAAATGTGAATCAACATCCAGCTTTCACGGCTTTCAGTACTGTGTTAGTTGTGCTGTAAGGTTAGTAGTATCTCGTCAGATGATGCCACACAAAAACTTAAGTTCAACTGATAACGGCTTTACCTTGTTGTTTGGGAAAATGTGCCAACAGATCCCTGTAAGCCAATATCAGGTTTACTTTAAAGAAGAAGAAGCACGCAGCCAAGGCTAGAACAGCCAGAGATGCAGAAAGGCAAACAGCCCAACTCATGTGGAAAGAACTGCGGTCAGCTGGAGAGAGGAAGGAGACAAACGTAAGGCAAGTGTCTCAGACGACTATAATTCTTGAACACACACACATTTATATGTATATGTCTATATATATCTTTATTACCTTCTTTAAGCTTCACCACACTGATTTGTTCTCCCGCTAGGCTTTCTAAATGGCACTCGAACTCAAAATTCAGGAACTTGCGATGAACTTTAGCGATGGACAGAATGACCAGTTCGTATACTTTGCCTTCTCTATGAATACTAAAGGGTACAGAAACAATCAGTCAGTCAGAATGAATCATGGAATCAAAGAATAATATGTAAATGTTAGGTGTTAAGTTTTTTGTGCTGCTACAGTTGCAACATTTACAGTCTATTACTCAGAAAAGAAGTTCTGCCTCCAAGTGACATTTAATGTCTGACACATTGTGTTGTTTTGATTTAATCTCGATGCAGTATAATGCAGTGTTTTGTATTCGCCCTATTAATAACCCCGTCCATGGTAATGTAAAACTCACGTTTTCCGGGACACACTAATCTCCTCGAGGTCCTCAGCGTAATCCTTGCCAACAGTCCAGTGCAGTGAAGACTCGTTATCCTCACTGTAGCCTATGAATGCTAAACACTGCAGCTCCACTCTCAAACCTGGTGGGCAGTGAGAGTAAAAAACAAAGAAACTGTCAGTCTACATTTCCCGTTTTGATCAAACAAAAATATGAAGTTAGCTCAAATGAAATTTAACGTCACGGAAACTTTTCAAAAGGCTTCTGACTAATTCTGTTCAGTCGCTAGATGACAAAGCACCATTGCAAAGGTTTTAAAGGACTTTATTGTCATCTTGACTTGAAAAACAACTGTTTGTCAAGTATTTATCATAAAGATCATACAGTCAATAAATGGATAATGGTGTCAATGACTTCATGATATTTAAAGGTGTTTATAATATTTTTCCATAGCACTAACATTCACTCTAATGCATTTTATTTAGTGTTTCACTTGCCTAGTTCAACTGTAATCTCTTGCTTGTCAGGGGTCACCAGCTGTGGCTCTACAAAAACTTTTTCTGGGAGGTCTGCAAGAAAGAAGAAGGAAGGAAAAATAAAGAAAGTGGGACAATATACATTTAGCTCCATAAGCATTTGTATATATTGCCTCTGTACACCATCACAGGCTAATTTAAATCAGACAAACCAGATGTGATTGAAGTGCAGATGTTTAGCTTTAATTCAAGAGGTTTAACCGAGGTTTTGCATGAACTCTTTAGGAATTACACTCGTTTTTATCCATAATCCCCCATTTTCAGACGCTCAAAAGTATGGGAGATGAGGCCTGTTGCCTCGTCATTCCATGATAAACAAAGTTAATTAAAGACATCTGGATCTGAGTCCAATAGCTAAACTTGTATTTCAGCATTTCACTGGAACTTGTGAAATTCACTGAGACGTTGATGCAAATTAAGGAAATGAATCTGGCCCCAGAAGACCAAACAAACCTACTAGAGTCCATGATTTAAGAAAAAAAAGGCTAAACAACATTTACCACAGTTGTAAACACTCAAGGAAATATGGTGTCGTTATCAGAGTCTAGAATATACAATCAAGAGATGCCTTTATGAATGTAAATACAGATGGTTTACCAGATGGTGAAAACCACTGTTCACACTCAAAAACAAGAAGAGCCTGCATGTTCTGAGAAAACATCTTTGGACATATTTAACTTACAACAGCATGAGGAGAAGAGAAAAATAATGAAAATGGAGAGATACAACTCGTATGCCAAAGCATCCAATGATTTATTTCTTTTTTGTTAAACCCCCTGAATTAAGTCTTCAAGTCTATGATTAAACAAAACAAAATAATAATAATAATTATGTACAGCCAGAGTAATATATTAAAAAATGACACCAGAATAATTAAGGATTCAATATGAGAGCTCTACAGTACTTACCATCTTTAACAGTCAACAGGATGCTGCGTGAAGCGGTATAATTCCTGCCATCCAAGTTAATGTCTATCAGGCAGGTATATTTCCCATTGTCCTCCTCTGAGGCTTGAGGAAGCCTCATGTTGCCTTTCATATCAACAGAGATGGGTTTCCCTTGCCGCTGAATGAGCTGGCAATCCTGCAGACAGAAACCAATCCTGTAGTTAGTTTTCACAGTGCCATATTTTTGAGAGGCATTTTTGAGCCTCAAGACAAGAAAGAAGAGCCAGAAATAAAGGAAAACATGAATAAAAAGCAAAAAACTGGCATAGTGATCTCAAAATGTGTTGGTCGCAAGTTTCCAGGTAACAAAATGCATAGTACTACATTGTTGCTGGCCTGGGTGGCAACCAGTCTTATCTGCCAGGGGGGCAGATCTGGCACACATTTTTCCCTGATATCTACAGAAGGGGGCAGTGTTACATTTATGGAAGTTGTAAAACAGAAGCCTGGGATTTGGCCCACCTAAGCACTTTAGGTGGAGCGATTGTGTATAAACTAGCCTAGTTTATATCTGCTGTTTCCACTGATAGTTTATCAGCAATTGTTTCTGTCCACTCTTCATGATATTATATTCCATAAAATGGGATTATACACCAATAGCATAGCATTATGACCACTGACAGGTGAAATGAATAAAACTGATTTATTAGCACCTGTTACTGGCTGGGATATCTTAGACAGCAAATGAATATTTTGCCCTCAAAGTTGATGTGTTAGAAGCAGGAAAAATGGGCACGCGTAAGGATTTGAGCCGAGATTGACAAGTGCCAAATTGTGTTGGCCACACAGCTGGGTGAGAGCCTCTCCAAAACTGGAGTGTGATCCAAGCCAACAGACGAGCTACTGTAGCTCAAAATGCTGAAAGAGTTGATGTAGGTTCTGATAGAAAGGTGTCAGAATACATAGTGGATCACAGTTTGCTTTGGGTAACGTTCTGCTGGGAAACCATCCATGAGGATGTAACTTTGACATGTACCACCTAACTAAGCACTGCTGCAGACCATGTATGACCTCCCATAGAAACAGTATTCCCTGATGGCTGTGGAATCTTGCAGCAGGATAATGCACCCTGCCACAAAGCAAAAAATGGTTTACAAATGGTTTGAGCAGCACAACAATGAGTTTGGAATCTTGACTTGGCCTCTAAATTCTCCAGATCTCAATTTAATCAACATCTGTGGGATGTGTTGGACAAAGAAGCCTGATCCATGGAGTCTCCACCTCCCAACTTATAGGAATTATAGGATCTAGGGCTGAACGATATATCGCATTTGCGATAATATCGCGACATGATCAAGTGCAATTTTCTAACCGCAAAGGCTGCGATTATACTCTGGACATGTCCAAATTCATGGGCTGCATCCTCCTGAGGCCGCATTTGTAGACCGATTACGTCACAGCGACGCGCCGAAGGCTGTCCAAATTACTACCATATCCCAGAATTCATAGCGCGGCCCAGCCAAACTCCAGTTTCCAGCAATGGCGGCCGCTACTAAGTTTTAAAATTACTCATACTAATCTTTCAGGGTCACAAAATAAACTTTTAACATATTTTCAGGCGAGAAAGTAGTTGTGTAAACATCAAATATCTGCTCGGTTTATCAAGATATCCCATATTTGCAAAAGTGCTTCGACGTTTTCAGAGGCGTCTGCTACCCACCAGCTCGACAGCTAGCCGGGAGCTCGAGGGTTACTGATGCGGCCGAGAACGGCACAACTCCCGGCACATCATTTTCAGATCACCGCGGAGTTTCGCTGCTCGGGTTAAATGTAATATATAAGTCACTTAGACAACCTAAAAATGTTATTGTTGGGCTTTTTTCAGTGTTTTGTTTGTTCGTGAGTAAATCGGTTTGGCTGAGATTAAAGTTATTAGATTAGATAAAATACAGTGGGGCAAAAAAGTATTTAGTCAGCCACCGATTGTGCAAGTTCCCCCACTTAAAATGATGACAGAGGTCAGTAATTTGCACCAGAGGTACACTTCAACTGTGAGAGACAGAATGTGAAAAAAAAAATCCATGAATCCACATGGTAGGATTTGTAAAGAATTTATTCGTAAATTAGGGTGGAAAATAAGTATTTGGTCACCTCAAACAAGGAAAATCTCTGGCTCTCACAGACCTGTAACGTCTTCTGTAAGAAGCTTTTCTGTCCCCCACTCGTTACCTGTATGAATGGCACCTGTTTGAACTCATCATCTGTATAAAAGACACCTGTCCACAGCCTCAAACAGTCAGACTCCAAACTCCGCCATGGCCAGGACCAAAGAGCTGTGGAAGGACACCAGGAAAAGTATTGTAGACCTGCACCAGACTGGGAAGAGTGAATCTACAATAGGCAAGCAGCTTGGTGTGAAAAAATCAACTGTGGGAGCAATCATCAGAAAATGGAAGATATACAAGACCACTGATAATCTCCCTGGATCTGGGGCTCCACGCAAGATCTCATCCCGTGGGGTCAAAATGATCATGAGAACGGTGAGCAAAGATCCCAGAAGCACACGGGGGGACCTGGTGAATGACCTGCAGAGAGCTGGGACCAAAGTAACAAAGGTCACCATCAGTAACACACTACAACGGCAGGGAATCAAATCCCGCAGTGCCAGACGTGTTCCGCTGCTGAAGCCAGTGCATGTCCAGGCCCGTCTGAAGTTTGCCAGAGAGCACATGGATGATACAGCAGAGGATTGGGAGAATGTCATGTGGTCAGATGAAACCAAAGTAGAACTTTTTGGTATAAACTCAACTCGTCGTGTTTGGAGGAAGAAGAATACTGAGTTGCATCCCAAGAACACCATACCTACTGTGAAGCATGGGGGTGGAAACATCATGCTATGGGGCTGTTTTTCTGCCAAGGGGACAGGACGACTGATCCATGTTAAGGACAGAATGAATGGGGCCATGTATCGTGAGATTTTGAGCCAAAACCTCCTTCCATCAGTGAGAACTTTGAAGATGAAACGAGGCTGGGTCTTCCAACATGACAATGATCCAAAACACACCGCCCGGGCAACAAAGGAGTGGCTCCGTAAGAAGCATTTGAAAGTCCTGGAGTGGCCTAGCCAGTCTCCAGACCTCAACCCCATAGAAAATCTGTGGTGGGAGTTGAAAGTGCATGTTGCTCGGCGACAGCCCCAAAACATCACTGCTCTCGAGAAGATCTGCATGGAGGAATGGGCCAAAATACCAGCTACTGTGTGTGCAAACCTGGTAAAGACCTATAGTCAACCTTTGACCTCTGTTATTGCCAACAAAGGTTATGTTACAAAGTATTGAGTTGTATTTTTGTTATTGACCAAATACTTATTTTCCACCCTGATTTACGAATAAATTCTTTACAAATCCTACCATGTGGATTCATGGATTTTTTTTTCACATTCTGTCTCTCACAGTTGAAGTGTACCTCTGGTGCAAATTACTGACCTCTGTCATCATTTTAGGTGGGGGAACTTGCACAATCGGTGGTTGACTAAATACTTTTTTGCCCCACTGTAAAACTTTATTAATCCCCCGGGTGGGTTCCTCCTTGGTTTTCACACAGCTGACTAAACGTCAAACAGAAAACTTATTAAACAGAAGTATGAGACAGTCGAGAATTTACACCAGTGTCTGGTTATATTTTAGATAGCAAGAAGCAGACGGCCGAGTTTATTAAACTCCACCGAGACAGCGGTGACGCTAATCAGAACTAGACCGTCCAATTTCACGCCTTTAAACTTTAAAGGCGTGTTTGTGTGTGTGTTTATACAATTGCTATTATGTTTGCACTTTATGTGTAATGTTACTGACTGCAAAGATCAGTAAGATGTGTGTATTTTTTATTTATTAGTTTTATTTATTTAATATTATTTTTTAATTGAATTGACTGTCTAGTAGTTCACAGATGTCGAAAAACTGAGTGTGGTAAAGCCACTGATTTTGTTTATGTATATTTCTGCAATCTGCACATTGTACTGACTTTCATTTTAATGTTTACACCAGGGTTCCTTGTCAGCACTTTATGCTCAGATGTTTGTAAGCTAAAAATAAACTATTGTGTATGTTCAAATATACTGTTGTGATTGAAGAAGTTAAATAAAAATGTCAGTCATCAATTCATGCATCACCTCATGTCATCATAACAGAGGTCTGTCTTCCATGAAAGAACAGTTTAAAATTAATGTAATATAGTATTGGCCATACTATATGATGTATTGCTTGTCTTTGTTTAATAATACAGAAGACAAAGACCTTAAAAATAATCGCATATCGCATCGCAATCGCAATATTGGGGCAAAAAATCGCAATTAGATTATTTTCCATAATCGTTCAGCCCTAATAGGATCTGTTGCTTAGATACCACAGCACACTTTCCGGGGTTTTGTGGGGTCCACGTCTCAAGGGGTAATGTCTGTTTTGACAGTAAAAGCGTACTACAGCGGATAGTGGGAACAGCAGAGAAGATCATCGGGATCTCTCTCCCCTCTATTGAGGACATCTACACCACACGCTGCATTCGCAAAGCCACCAGCATTGTGGCTGATTGGACACACCCCCCTCACACACTCTTCAAACTCCTGCCATCTGGAAAAAGGTACCGAAGCATTCGGGCACACACATCCAGACTGTGCAACAGCTTTTTTCCACAAGCCATCCGTCTCCTCAGCAAAAAGGGACTGACTGATAAACACACACGCACACGCACACACGCACACACACACACACACACACACAAACATTATCACTCAGGTTAACTCAACTACCTCAAAACATTGAGACTGGACTGACTAATCAACACAAGCGCAAACACACTGACCTACACCACCAAACCATCGTACACACCAACCTGTTAATGCTCTTTTGCACAATATTATTACTGGACTTTTTGCACTAACTTCTGTACTTCCTAATTTTTGCTGCTACACTAAGGAATGTTTACTGTTCCTCCACTACCTCAACTCATCATCACAAAACCTTATTACAGTGAGGCAAAAAAGTATTTAGTCAGCCACCGATTGTGCAAGTTCCCCCACTTAAAATGATGACAGAGGTCAGTAATTTGCACCAGAGGTACACTTCAACTGTGAGAGACAGAATGTGAAAAAAAAATCCATGAATCCACTTGGTAGGATTTGTAAAGAATTTATTCGTAAATCAGGGTGGAAAATAAGTATTTGGTCACCTCAAACAAGGAAAATCTCTGGCTCTCACAGACCTGTAACGTCTTCTGTAAGAAGCTTTTCTGTCCCCCACTCGTTACCTGTATGAATGGCACCTGTTTGAACTCATCATCTGTATAAAAGACACCTGTCCACAGCCTCAAACAGTCAGACTCCAAACTCCGCCATGGCCAAGACCAAAGAGCTTTCGAAGGACACCAGGAAAAGTATTGTAGACCTGCACCAGACTGGGAAGAGTGAATCTACAATAGGCAAGCAGCTTGGTGTGAAAAAAATCAACTGTGGGAGCAATCATCAGAAAATGGAAGACATACAAGACCACTGATAATCTCCCTCGATCTGGGGCTCCACGCAAGATCTCATCCCGTGGGGTCAAAATGATCATGAGAACGGTGAGCAAAGATCCCAGAAGCACACGGGGGACCTGGTGAATGACCTGCAGAGAGCTGGGACCAAAGTAACAAAGGTCACCATCAGTAACACACTACAACGGCAGGGAATCAAATCCCGCAGTGCCGGACGTGTTCCGCTGCTGAAGCCAGTGCATGTCCAGGCCCGTCTGAAGTTTGCCAGAGAGCACATGGATGATATAGCAGAGGATTGGGAGAATGTCATGTGGTCAGATGAAACCAAAGTAGAACTTTTTGGTATAAACTCAACTCGTCGTGTTTGGAGGAAGAAGAATACTGAGTTGCATCCCAAGAACACCATACCTACTGTGAAGCATGGGGGTGGAAACATCATGCTATGGGGCTGTTTTTCTGCCAAGGGGACAGGACGACTGATCCGTGTTAAGGACAGAATGAATGGGGCCATGTATCGTGAGATTTTGAGCCAAAACCTCCTTCCATCAGTGAGAACTTTGAAGATGAAACGAGGCTGGGTCTTCCAACATGACAATGATCCAAAACACACCGCCCGGGCAACAAAGGAGTGGCTCCGTAAGAAGCATTTGAAAGTCCTGGAGTGGCCTAGCCAGTCTCCAGACCTCAACCCCATAGAAAATCTGTGGTGGGAGTTGAAAGTGCATGTTGCTCGGCGACAGCCCCAAAACATCACTGCTCTCGAGAAGATCTGCATGGAGGAATGGGCCAAAATACCAGCTACTGTGTGTGCAAACCTGGTAAAGACCTATAGTAAACGTTTGACCTCTGTTATTGCCAACAAAGGTTATGTTACAAAGTATTGAGTTGTATTTTTGTTATTGACCAAATACTTATTTTCCACCCTGATTTACGAATAAATTCTTTACAAATCCTACCATGTGGATTCATGGATTTTTTTTTCACATTCTGTCTCTCACAGTTGAAGTGTACCTCTGGTGCAAATTACTGACCTCTGTCATCATTTTAGGTGGGGGAACTTGTACAATCGGTGGCTGACTAAATACTTTTTTGCCCCACTGTATTATGTTACGTTGTGTTTTTCTATCATTCTGTCTCTTTGCTGCTCTTGTTTGCACATTTGCACGTGCACTTTGTTGTCTGCTGTCTGATAACAAAAAAAAAGTCTTCCTTAGATAGTTAGATAGTTTGGTTTTTTTTGTTAATTTATGTTGTAATTTATGTTAGGTCAGTCTGTCTTGTCTCTGCTAGCCAGCTAACTAGGTCTCTTAGTTGGCTAGTTGAGTGTTTTCTGTTAATTTATGTTGTAAATTTATGTTGCATGTAGCACCTTGGTTCCTGGAGGAACATTGTTTCGCCTCACTGTGTACTGTTAAACTGTATATGGTTGAAGTGACAATAAAGCCAACTTGACTTGACTTGACTTGAAAAGGGGGACCAGGTGGTCATAATGTTATGCCTGATTGGTGTATATGGAGGGCAGAGACCAGACCGCCAGTACGTTCTTCAGCCAGCTTTTTTTAGGTGCAAAATAATATTGATGAGCAACAGTTTTCTTTGTACTCAAATCAGGTCCTAACAAGGCAAACATGTCAATGCAGTAAAACAAGTGTATTAGGCCTCTTTATACCTTCATCCATCGTACATTCACCACGCTATTCAGGCCGAAGATTTCTTTCTGTTTACAAGGAAGACTGTCGCTCACTCCTTTTGTGATGGAAATGCTCTCAACGGTATAAGGACACTCTCCACTAGACACTGACACCCAAAACTTTAGCCTCCGTAATAATACTCCAGACTGATTCCTGAAAAGAAAAAGAATTGTAAAGCCAACAGCAAGAAATATCCCTGTACTTTTTGTTTATCCTAAATGGTTACAGACAATATGACTAAAATGTGAATTGATGTTTCAGTTATGCCTCTATTCCACTGATAAGCTGAAGTTATATATCTGTTCAGCACTAATTAGATATAAGATTAAAAAAAATAACATCCATTAGGAATATAAATTAGCACACACACGTACAGAGACTGCCTGAAGGCTGGAACTGAGGAGATTTGATATCCCTCCTCTCATATATATTTGGATATTTATCCAGTTGCTCATTTGCTCTTAATGGTTTGATCATTTCCTGGATAAATAACACATTCATTTTTAGAAATGGCCAATCCCGTCTCCCTGTTGTATAGGAGGCTCCATATGCTCCCAGTACAACCTTCACACAGTCTCCTAAAAGTGCAACATCAAAGATTTACAGATGTTAAAATCCAGTTAGTAGGTTAGTTGGCATATCTTATAAAACAGGTCGCAAAAGGTTGATTTTGTTCATCTGGACGTAGCGTTTTCATTGGAGACTTCTGAAGAAGTCACTTGGATGAGTGACAAAGGGTTTCCAATACAACAGAGCTTGATCATAGCCTGCATACAACTGTTAGGTTTTACAGCATTTTATTATAAAGTAGGTTGTGTTTGTCTGTGCACGTGTGTTAAAGCACATTTATAAATATACTAGAAGCATGGAACTGCAGGGATCAGGAGAACTCATGCAAGAGAAGTCATACAGATATTTTTATACCTTATCTGACAGGTGTAAGATCCATTGTGGGACATCTGGACAGGTAGAAACCAAAGTAACCTGTCCCTCACTTCCACTCCAGTGGGCAGGCTCAGATTGTCTTTACTCTCCCCTCTGCTCCAGATCACGACATCATGAGCCTCTGCTGTGTAGCAATTCAGCAAAAAGAAATGGCCAGCACTCACATGGAAGGTATCTATCTCCCCACGGTGGTCTGTAGGTGACAGTGCAACAGGAGAACAACTATTTGTCATTTAATGTAAGATGTTAAAAAAATATATCAATCTACAAGGAAGACATGTTACTCCAAAAGAAGAACAGATAGAACAGAATAGGACTAAGTAAGTAAAGTAAGTAACATTTTATTTATATAGCACCTTTCTAGACAAAAGATCACAAAGTGCTTTACACAGAGATAACAAGGTATAAAACAAAAACAGACAAAAAGTTAACGAAATGCAATTCTAAAAAGATGTGTTTTTAGTTGTTTTTAAAAGAGACTACCGAGTCACATGTGAGTACTTCAAGGATTTGGTCAAAAGCTTTGCTGCAGCGTTCTGAACAACCTGCAGACGTTCCAGGGAGTTTTTGCTTAGACATGTAAACAGTGAATTACAGTAGTCCAAACGTGATGAAATGAATGCATGAATAATAATCTCCAGTTTAGTACGAGATACAATAGGACTTAATTTGGCAATGTTTCTTAAGTAATAAAAGCAAGACCAAATCAGAGATTTGACATGGACATCCAATGTGAGAGCCGGGTCAAAGGTTACCCCTAGGTTCCTGATAGATGATTTCACAAATGTCGAAAGGGGACCAGCATTCATTATCATAGGTACAAGTCAGGAGCCACATGCAAGGACTTCAGTGTGTCCTTCATTAAGTTGGAGAAAGCTGTCATCCAGCCAACCTTTAATGGATTCTAAGCACTCATTCAGAATCTGCAGCATAGATAGATCTTGGGGCTTAAAAGCAATGCATAGCTGGCGTCGGGTCCAACATCAGCAAAACAAAACATTTTCCTGCATCGTTTTGCATCAAAATGTCACTGGAGACTCTAAGAAGGGCTGTTTCAGTAGAATGAGGTCTACGAAAGCCACTGACTGACTGAAATTTGTCAAGAATATCGTGTTTGTCCAAAACTGCTGTAAGCTGCTTAGCCACAACCTTTTCTAAAATCTTAGCAGTTAGTGGTAATTTTGAGATTGGCCTGCAACTGCTGTTTTTTTTTTTTAGATGGGATGTACAGCACAGGGACTTTACCAGTGACGTGTTAATTGTGGTGAGCACACAGGGACCGATAGACTGGAAGACATTTTTGAGTAACGATGCAGGTAAACTGTCAAATGAACAGGAGGATACTTTCTTTGAATTAACTAACTTTTCCAGCTCGGCTAGTGAAACCGATAAAAAGCTGTCTCAAATAACAGGCTGAGGCAGAGTAAGAAATGCTGATGGGGAAAAATGTTTTCTTACATTACTAAAAAAAAAATTCTATTAAGAAAGAAAGAAATTTTTCACAATCTTCATTTGAAGAAATTGGGGGCAGCAGGTGGACCAGGAGTAATAATACCAGTAATGGTGTGAAATAATACCTTAGGATTACCTCGGCTCTGGGTAACAAATTTAATTCTCCTCAGAATAAATGTGTGAAAACATCAATGCCCATTGCGATTTAACCCATCTTGTCACTCGCCGTAGAGTTTCTGTTTACAACTGTTTGTTCTTTTCTGTTCTTCTTTTCATTTATGGCATGTCAAGGACACAACCAATGTTAGGTCATTCATAAAGATAAATAACAACAACAAGGCAGGGAAATACCTCCAGCTAGTGTCGGACCAAAATGCTGACACTGAAGTTTCAAAAGTTGAAAACTCATGGGTGACCTGATGGTGGCCCATCTTTCATACTGTTTATAAAAGATATTTTTAGGACAAACACCCCTTGGTGGACCTAGCTAGCTGTTAGCCAACTTCCAAACTTCCATGAAAAGACATTTGTGTTCTTTTCCAAGCTGTGAATGCCATGTCCAAAGTAGAACAACACCAATATGGATTCCTGGAAATGGGTGTCTTGCTACAGTCAAAGAGCAAACATTTCGTAACAATGACTAATGCAACTTGTTAACTTCTAATATTGCAGGTTATCAACCACTGAGAAGGGCTATGCACGTCCATGCAGGTGTGCAAAGATATGTCACCACCACCACTTCATTATTGAATTTAATAGTAACTGTTTGGCATCTGTAAACAGAACTAGGGATGCTTTCCCGTTTTTTTTCACCGTCTGTTAATAACATAGGATAAGATAAACCAGTATTTGTCCCACACATGGGAAATTTGTTGGGTCACGGCAGAAAGGGGACAGTACAAAGTTACAAGCACCAAAAATTAAGAAAACAATAGAATATAATACTTTATAAATAGAATAAAATAGTATGTTGCATCGAAAATTTACACTTTGTAGTATTGCACCTAAGGGAGACAAGGAGAAGGCTATCATGGTGTATTGGATGTAAATGAAATTCTATGATAATCGTATTTTGTGCCACTTTTGTGCTGAGCAAACAGTATGAGATATGCAGCAACCTGTGGTAAGTGGTTAAATGTTTGCTCTGAAAAAGAGCAGTTGCTGCACAAACTGTACCAAATCATTTCTACCTTTTTCTTGAGTTTTTAGTTATCTAAGTTTTACTTAGTTAAATGGATGTTGCAGATATGTGCAAAGTTATTTTTATCAAGTTATATTCTGACTGGTCTGAAGAGTCAGCACTTTTAGAGCTATCTAAAATACTTTGCTATTCACAATGTCAGAGATACATGACGTTTGTGGTTAACAAGATTGTTACTGTGGTAGAAAATACCCACGTGTTTTAACATATTTAGTCTTCAGGCACAGTTGAGGAGCCACAACGAAGTTTTGGTCGATGGGCTGAGAACACGATACCTGAAAACGAGGTTATCAGCCCAATGTGATGATGTATTTTTTATTATTAAAAATCACACAATCAGACAGGCCCTTATTACATATTACCATAGGCTCCCTCCTGTTTATGGTAATGTGCAGGAGCTTTCTGAAGCTTTTCATACAGACAGCTAGAACGACATTTCACGGAATTAAAATAAACATCAAAATATGTCAAATTTGTTTAGAAATTTTACACACTATGTTCGCACTTCTTGCCACAGCTTGTGTGTATTCAGCTATGGACAGTAGGCAAACTGGATTTTTCACGAATGTGCAGTTGTTCTAAATTGGTGCTTTTTACATTAAATGTTTAAGCGTTTAGTGTTAATAGAAACCGCTGCTAATGTTTGCATTTTCGCTTGTTTAATGACAAAAAGGTTATGGGATTTTAAAAACTGTAGGCAATTTATGTTCTGCCTTTTCCACTATTGCTCAAGATTGCATCCTGGGCGCAGATTATTCAAACAGTGAGGAAGAGTCTTGTTTGCCACTTCCTGTCAAAGCTGTAAATCTGTCATCAGTGGAACACCTCATACAGCATTAACTGATGAGACATAACCCTCATCGGGTCTTTTTTAGACCTCAACATCATCCGTTTTTTAACCCTAATCCTAAACCTGTTATACTGTACTTCACATTACTGTGAACATTAAATTGCACTTTTGCACATTTCTTTTTTTCGTTTTAATTTATCAAAAAAATTATAAAATGATTTTATGTTTCAGGGTTTAAAGGATTAACAAGATATAAACACTGTTTTCACCTCATCATGCCAGTTTACTGTAAGAAGAAGAAGAAATTTGTATTACACAGTCTAACTGTTAGTGAAGTTGTAAGGCTGCGTCAGCGAACCTTGTGAAATTCAGGTAATTCTAAAGCATTTGTTCGTCACAGCTAGTCAAACCCAGCTGACAAAAGTGCAACGTGCAGCCGTATCTTAGCAACGCTTAGTAATTTTAGCAGATAGCTGTTAATGTTTGTCTTACACTAATACTTCTTATCTGTGTACAGCTTACCTCCATGTAATAATATGGAGGTAAGTCATGTCAGCTAGCCTGTATCAAAGTATTCAGGTATAACAGAATATTTAGAGTAGTACTTTTAAAAAGATTACTCTGCTTATTACAGTCAACTGTTTTATTATTGGCGCCACGCTTGGCGAGGGATCCTTGGCTCTGCTGGAGCATTTTATAAAACCTTGTCCTTTATGTTCAGCCTGACGTGCACAGGTGCTGCAACTTTAATGCTGACATCTTTTAGCTAAGACGCTTCCTGGAGATTCACACATCAAAGTCTGAGTATAAATGTTTGGTCTCCTTGACCTATATAATCATCAAAAACCCCACAGACCTTTCAGTTGTTGTTTTTTTGACGTTATCGTCTATCAGAATCACTTCATTGTCGTGAGAGGAATGTTGAGGGGTATGCTTTTTTTACTCATCAAACCACAGTTTATCTTTTTCTGTCGTGATTGTCTGTCTTGATAGCAAAACCTACCCAGGTAACCTATCAGTTGAATAGAGATTTTATCATACTGCCGTATGCATTCTGTGCAGTCCCTACCACAGATGTATGAATAGATAAATCCACTACAAGGAACACTGAAGAATCAGCTTTTATTCCAGTATCTATTCTGATCACTGATTTATGATTAATTTATGGTAACATTTGAGTTAGGATACATATGTACAATATGTGTGTATATATATATATATATATATATATATATATATATATATATATATATATATATATATATATATATATATATATATATACACATATACACATACATACATACATACATACATACATACATACATACATACATATAAATGTATTTGGCAAAGCTATAGGATAGTTTGCCCTGTCTGTTAAGGAAAATCTTAACAGACAGTTTAACTGGTTTCTAAACCAGTTAAACTGGTTATAAACCATGACAGCTAACCCCACGACATTGGCATAAAGCAGACAGAGCTTGTCACTCAGCTGAAACTAAGTGTTCAGAAGAAGTTGGAGAATCAGTACTTACCACGCGTCACAACAAATGACAGAGACAGCAGAACAGTCACCAAGCAGACCCAACCTGCCGCTGCCATAGTTCTTATCTGAGGGAATCAACAGACTGCATTTCAGTAAAGTCCGGTGTGATTTTCTTGAGAACACGAGCCATCCTGTCAGGCGAGCGTATTCTTTGCAGTGTATACAAGTTTCTTGACATACTTCCTGGGGAGCACAGCTTCCCTTAAAGGGAAGTGAAAGATGGAGTGTTCTCAGCTCTCACAAGGAAGTCAGAGCCAAAACACTCCCAGTAAAGTCCCAGGAAGTTCCACTGATTGGTGTTTCTTTGTCAAAGGTTGAGAAAAAAAATTCTCTTTGTCATTTGTAGTAACTCTCTGCTGATGTAAATCATTCATGCGTCTTTGTTACGTCATCGAAAAGTAATAATTCATATATGAATTGCACTCATTTTGGTCATTAACATAAAGTGGATCGGAGTCAGGTTATATATAAGGGAATTTATGGGCAAGTTCATCTGCAGCACATATTTATTTAAAAATACTTCATATTAATAGAAAATCAGAATTTCCCAAAATATAATGCCAATTTTGGGCTTTCTGGGCTTTGAAAAACAATGATGACATTCCTATAAAAATGTCTTAATAATAAACTTTGTAGTAATTTTTGAAATGAGTAAGCCTTATATCTCACAACTGCTGTGATAAATACTTAAAGTAAGGGTTTACCCTGAATGGTCTTCAGTCGTCACTTGATATATGTTTTACATGGCAATTTTTGTCAGCATCGTATATATTTTCACAGTTTACTCAGATATCCCTCTTTAAGTTTGCCTTATTGTAAAGTGGTAACCTTCCAAAGCTCAGTGAAGCAAGTGAAAATCACAGTCGCTGAGTATTTAAACTTCAGTGCCTTAAATAAATAGATGTCAAGACCAAAATTGAAAATCTGCTGCCAATATATTTTGTGTAAAAGCAATCAAAAGAAATATTGCTGAACAGAAAGACAAAGATAAATCAACAGAGTGAAACCACGTCAATGTGAAACCAGTACTATAAAATTCAAAGAAGCCTACACCAAGTATTTAAAAAAGATGTAATCATAAAGCTTAATCGAAACTCACCTGTGACGTATATGAAGTTACTACAAAAATAGAAAGAACTATCTGTACAATTACAGCTGTAGTTTTAATTATAATTTTGACTTTCTACTCTGAATTATGAGACAGAAAGTCTGCCTGTCACTTACAGTACAGTGAACTTGCAGTGACTTGCTGGATTTTCCATCCTCCTACTCCTCCTCCTGTATTTGCATTATTTTATATTGTTCCACTACCCCGGTATGAAATTTCCTCTCAACTGAAAAAAAGTACAACTTGCTTTGCAGTACAGGTGCGGCACAGTTATTCAACCACAGCTAAGTAGCACTTGACAGATATAGGTCGAGTTGTTGGTGGTTAAGATTTGAAACTGACAGTTGTTTTCATGTAATAATGTAATGGCATTTAACTAACTAGCAGTGTACATTTCCTGGAAATATTCCATTAAGACAGCTGCATAATACTACACTCAACAAAAATATAAACGCAACACCTTTGTTACTGCTCCCATTCCCCATGGGATGGACGTAGAGACCTAAAATTCATTCCAGATACACAATATAACCATCCCTCCCAAACAGTGGTCACAAATCAGTCCAAATGTGTGGTAGTGGGCACATCTGCTATATTGAGATAATCCATCCCACCTCACAGGTGTGCCACACCAGGATGCTGATCTGACATCATGAGTAGTGCACAGGTGTACCTCAGACTGCCCACAACAAAAGGCCACCCTGGAATGTGCAGTTTTTTGCGCTATTGGGGGTCTGGGACCCAGAACCGGTCAGTATCTGGTGTGACCACCATTTGCCTCATGCAGTGCAACACATCGTCGCATGGAGTCTATCAGATTGTCAATTGTGGCCTGTGGAATGTTGGTCCACTCCACTTCAATGGCTGTGCGAGGTTGTTGGATATTCGTGGGAACTGGTACACGCTGTCGTATACGCCGGTCAAGCACATCCCGAACATGCTCAATGGGTGACATGTCCAGTGAGTATGCTGGCCATGCAAGAACTGGGACATTCTCAGCTGCCATCTGCCCTGAACAATGTGAACCATGATTCATCCGTGAAGCGCACACCTCTCCAACGTGCCAGACGCCATCGAATGTGAGCATTTGCCCACACAAGTCTGTTACGGCGACGAGCTGGAGTCAGGTCAAGACCCCGATGAGGACGACGGGCATGCAGTTGAGCGTCCCTGAGACGGTTTCTGACAGTTTGTGCAGAAATTGTTTGGTTGTGCAAACCAATTGTTCCAGCAGCTGTCTGGGTGGCTGGTCTCAGACGATCTTGGAGGTGAACCTGCTGGATGTGGAGGTCCTGGGCTGGTGTGGTTACACGAGGTCTGCGGTTGTGAGGCCGGTTGTATGTGCTGCCATATTCTCTGAAACGCCTGTGGAGACGGCTTATGGTTGAGAAATGAACATTCAATGCACGGGCGACAGATCTGGTTGACATTCCTGCTGTCAGCATGCCAATTGCACGCTCCCTCATTGCTTGTGGCATCTGTGGCATTTTGCTGTGAGACAAAACTGCACATTCCAGGGTGGCCTTTTGTTGTGGGCAGTCTGAGGTACACCTGTGCACTACTCATGATGTCAGATCAGCATCCTGGTGTGGCACACCTGTGAGGTGGGATGGATTATCTCAATATAGCAGATGTGCCCACTACCACACATTTGGACTGATTTGTGACCACTGTTTGGGAGGGATGGTTATATTGTGTATCTGGAATGAATTTTAGGTCTCTACGTCCATCCCATGGGGAATGGGAGCAAAAACAAAAGTGTTGCGTTTATATTTTTGTTGAGTGTATTTATTTAAAAAGTACTTCCTTCTAAAACAGTTTATTTAGTTAAACTCAAAGCCAATATTTCGTATTCTTTTTCTTAGTGTGACACTGAGATAAGGATGAATAAAAACGAGGGAATTGTTAGTTGTTCAAAGAGCGATAAAACAAACACGGATGCGGCTGCAAATCCGTTATTGGAAAAAGCTGTGAAACTTCCCAGAAACTGTGTTGGAGCTTGGATCAGCGCAGTGTTTTCAGATTATTACATTTACAATGCAGTTTGATTTTTCGTCAATCTGTGAAAATCGTCAGCCAGATTTTCAAAACAAAAATGTAAACGTTCCCTAGGATCCACTCTCTCAAACCTCAAAGCTCTTTGTGGCGTTTTTCAACATATTGGATTTTATCCAAACTTAAAAAAAATATTCCTACAATTTCTTCTCCAGTTTCAAAGAATTTTACAGACAGTCATCACAAGACTATTTTCACTAATGACGAAATGGCAATCACAGTTTTCTCAACATGCAATAGTGTTAAAAATGCCGTTTTCTGCTCTTTCCCTTGACGTCTCGAATGACTTGTAAATCATGAGTCACTGTTAAGTTCAAAATAATCCGATGGTTGTGGAAATGTAATGATGACTTCTAAGATTTACAAAAATGTTTGATTTTCAAAGCATCATTAAAACAAAATCAACAAATGTTTGTTTTTTAAAAATTCCTATATTCGACGTTGTTGTAAATCCAACTTCGTATCTGTTTCACTCTCGTCTGTTTCCTTCTCTTTTGTCTATGACCAGTGAGATCCAGTTACACGTCTGGGCATGATGAAAGGGAACGAATGACTACGCCCACGAGACTTGGAACCAGACACGACAGGGTTGAACTACAGTGGCGCTTCCCAGTCGTGACTGACCTGAGACGCAAGTTGAGAGCAGTGCAGGGACTGAAAGCTAAAGGAAGAAATTAACATGAGCCAGTGTTTGATAGTGACCAACTGAGTGTTTATATTATGCTTGCTCTTTAAACTAACCAGAAGTTGGTTGGTGAATGAACCCAAACTAATATTCTAAATGATCTGTAACCAAATTAAAGCACTTCAAATCCTAAGTGTGTGTATAAATGTACCCAATAATCTCTTTAGCCCCTTTGTTTGATTTACCTGCTGCAGTTAGGTAGATTAGACGCATGATATGGTCTTGCTATTTGAAATGTTCAGCCTTTTTAACATAGCATCCATGCACAGCTGCCAGATGGCAACCTTTTTCTTTTATTTTCCATTCTTATTTTCACAAATATGGAGCTCCTTTATGACACTCATGTACACTGACAAACATGTTACATGGTTTAAGCAAAGATTTAAGATTGGGAGGAATTTTATATTTAAGTAAAATCAGTTGTAGCAGAAATGTGAAGTAAATTGACAAAAAAAAAACCACGCTATAATACTAGACCCAGTGTCTTTGTGGTGTATGTTTCTTGAGGAGGAATGGAAAAGAGTAAAAACTGAAAATAATCTTTTTATTTGCAAAATAGTCACACTTTAAAACAAAATTCAAATAGAAAACAGAGTATTTACAATTTCCCAGATCATAAGTAAAAAAAAAAAATCATTGATTAAAATGTTAGCGCATACATTTTAACCTAGATTTTTATGCAGCCTCATTTCATGATGTTGTTTTTACAAATAATATACATAAATTTAAAAAATCATCATGAATGTATACTTTTCTGGTTGTTCCTCTTTACAGTTTTTACATGTTAATTTATATATTTTTCTACATATTTACAGTTTAATCATACATATGTACATTTCCTGATATGCCTATCGCCCAGTGTCAGCTGGGATGTTGAGGATTGTGTAATAAAATAACTGTACGACCATTCAAGCTATTTCATCTGCATTATTTTTCAGGCCCCTTCTGTTACTGATTGTCAGCAGTTCACATACAAACTGTGGACAATTCAGACACTGCACTGATCTGTCCATGACCAGCTGTCATCTTTAGCCAATACTTTCCACATTTCTACACTTTTTTATACTCATTGCAATGTTTACTTGAAAAGTTCCACAGAAGGTAAAGGTGACATCTCTGCTGAAGAGAACATTTGGAGTTGCCTGTGCTGTAAACTTGACTCAGGGTCTTGGTGTCACTGCTTCTGATAACAGTGCCCACGATCTACCTGTGAGTGAGTAAATGCAACTGCCACATTTACATTAGAAACCAGGTACTCTCTGGTTCAATATCTGACAAACACAGATCGCCATCAGAATTACAGAAAGGCGATTGTTTCAGGATACACTACC